CTTTTCTCAAAACCCTCCTTCAAAAACCTCCTTTTACATTTAGGAATTTGGTAGATATTTTATAGACTGTTTTCTATAGAAACTCTTTTAAACTGAATTATTTGTACCCTCATCCCCTTTATCTCCTATTTTTCACACCATAAATTTCAAGTTGAGACATTGTGATATAAATCATGTTAGTGTTTACCTGGGACTTACCTGGAAAGTTAAAATCTAATTTTTTCCCTTAAGCAGTTAACATATTTTGTTTCTGCAAAAGTATTTCAAGTTGTAATGATTTAAACCAGGAAAGTTTGATTGCCAAAACGTGGGCTTCTGGGATATCTCCTGGTTTTGCTTTTTATTAGGTCAGTATTCCTCATTGCCTGCTTGTCACTGTCATCTGTGGCCTCAAGGGAGTCTAGGAGGCTTGAGAGAAGGATCTCCATGTAGGCTTAGTGACTTTTGAGTCATAGACTATCCCTCATTCCCTGCTGTTCTTATTCTAAAACTCCTTTATCCTAGTGCTAAAAACACAAATAGCATTTTTTAAAAATTAATAAAACTAGTATGAAAAATGTGACCATTATAAATTATTGAGGTATTTCCAGTTCATTTCGATCAGTGTGGTATGTCTGAAAGAATATGGGTAGAAGAGTTCTTCATTGTGTTTTTTTCTAATCTACTTCACTTGGCTGTCATTAGCATTCTTGTGATAGGACAAGGCAAGGAGTAGGATGCCAATAAATGTACATAAATCCTCCCCACCCCTTTTCCTACTCTTCCCTTTTACAAATGGGGGAGGGACAGTTGAAATAGGGAGGCCCTTTGTCCAAGTTGAAGAGACAGTGGTTACATAGAGAATAGTTTATTTGGGGAAGGAGAAAATAAGTTTAGAAACTTTCAAAATGGCCATCCTACATTATCTTTTTACTGTTTTCCTTGATGATTCTGATATGCTAGCATTCAGCGATACATACAGATTTCATAAAAGGTTTTTAAGAATGGGGTTAATTATCTTGTTAGCTAGAACAGCATACGGTACCAAATAAACATTTAATCTTATTTTTCTTATTCTTAATAATGTCACTTTTCCATACCTTCTGATTTATGCTTCTGTAAAATTGGAGGTTACATTCAGGATTTCCAACACTTTTTGCAAATCCTGAATGTAAACTTTAAAATAATTATGTGTATTCCTTAATTTTAATTAACATAAGCAGATCTGTAACTCTGTTTAGGAATTTGGTGATTAGATATTCTCTCTTTCATTTAAGAAAAAAGAAGCTCTTACCTTGTTTTTATTCTTTGCGACCTTTGATTTTATGATATGGAACTTAAGTGATTTCTATTTTCAAATCCTGATCATGGCACTGGCCATGATCAGATAACCAAATTATTGTATAGATATATTACAACATGAAGGAGAGGTTGTGAATTTTGTTGATAATCTTTCAAGTTACCTGGTTTTGCTTAGTGCAATCAGAGCTAAGTATCTTGGATTACCTTAATAGGTGAAGAATAACTATATTCTCTCCAATCTTTTTAGCTTCCTCATTTGCTTATATTTCTCATCTTCCTTTACTTTTACTTTTTACTTCCTTTAATTGTTACTTTTTATTCCTTATGAAATAAAATCAATCAATATAATACATTCTTATCTATTTGGAAATTATCCCTATTGAGTATTTTTTCTTGGTCAATTTTGGATTGAAAAATTGGATTACTTATTATGTAGGAGGCTTTCCTCATTTGTGGAATGAGATTTAGAGTTTTTCTGTTTGTTTTGTCAAGACATGATACTCTCTGAGTGAGGACTCTTTTTTTGTTGTTACTGGATCTCCTGAAGTCATTTTCAAAATCAGGAAAAAAGTGAAGTTGGTAGACAATGGATGCTACGGGATTAATATGTATTTTATTTACTGGCTAATTAAGTAGAAAGCAGTAAAGGGAGAAGAAGAAACACTGGAAGCCTTACTAATAAAAAAGTACTCAATAAAATTGCTGTTGAAGATGATAGCCAAAGAATAATTTGGGGGCACTATGTATCTAGGAACTAGAAAAGAGAGTTAGGTTAGTAGGTTGGTGAGAGAGGAGGAAGAGAGAAAGGGAGGGAGAAAGAGAAAGTAAGTAAATGCCTGGTGGTAGATAGTATCAGTAAGAGGTGGAGGAGGAGCCCAGTGTAAACTTTATTTGTAATTTTGCTTATAGCCTGGAGGTCACTTGGTACTTGTCATATCTTAGTTGGTACTTTGTATTTGGAACCTGAGTTTTCCATGTGTAGGGTAGACTGTATATATATTCTAGCTTGCTTCTCCCTTTCATTTTATATCTTTTACCCTCAGATTTATTATATCTAATATTCATGGATGTGATTATGTTTCAAAGAATTTTGAAGGTCCTTAAAATGTTTCTAAATCTTGAGCAATATGTTGTGAATTAATTTTATAGAAATGGGAAACATTGTCTCAAATATATTTAGTCACATAATTTTTATTTAAAAATAACGTAAATATCCAAAGTTATATAACTAGTAAACAGGATATTGCCAGAATTCGTACCCAAGTCATCTGTCTCCTGATCCTGTACTTTTATTTATTTATTTTTACATATATTTATTGATTTCAGAGAGGAAAGGAGAGGGAGAGAGATAGAAACATCAAGGATGAGAGAGAATCATTAATCAGCTGCCTCCTGCACACACCCTACTGGGGATTGAGCCCACAACCTGGGCATGTGCCCTTAATCAGAATAAACCCTGGACCCTTCAGTCTGCAGACTGGTGCTCTATCCACTGAGCCAAACGGGCTAGGGTCTGATCCTGTACTTAATAATATTAAGTTAAACTAGCTTTACTTTCCTAGGACAAGATTTGAATATCAAGCTAAGTTCTTGGTCTTTTGTACTAAAAGCAACAATAGCTCTCAGAGGTACGGCTTTTATTTGTTTAAAACCATGTTAGCTCAGGAGAATCCAAAATGAATAGGTTTGGCATGTTGAGTTTGTAAACTACCAGTTTTCACATAGATTTTATGTTTGAAAAATACTTAGTGCAGTCTGAAAACTGTAAGGTTTTCAAATGTTGAAATGTCATGTACTATTAATAGTAAATTGAAGTATTTTTCCTTAAATGCATTACCATAAAAATGAAGCGTCTATATTATAAATTATTTTGTCTTCTGTAATTTGTACTTTAACAATTTTTCACAATTCTCCACCAACTTTAACAGTTTTCCGAAATGAAAAACTTATTCTGATTGAAAGACGATATTCATTGTTTAAAAAAAACACAAAGCAAGCATCAAACACTTTTGTATAGTACAAAGGAGTCAAAATCACCTGAAATCCTACTAGTTAGAAAGTAACAACTGGTTAACATTGTGGTAGATACAAACACCTAGAGACAGAAATTCTTTGTTAACTTTGTATGTGAAAAATGTCTTCGGGTTTGTGATTCACTTTTTTTAATGCTTAATTGTAATGAACAGAAACTGTTAATTTTAATATTAAATGTGTGAGATTAGGAGTCCAGTTTCATTCCCTACACCCTAAATAGGGAACATTAGTTTTACAAGTACTATGTATTTTAAGAATCTATTTTTTTCTTACTTTTTGTCTGTTATAAATCAAGTTTGTTTGTTTATGGACTTTTATTTTGTTTCATTTATCACTATGTCTGTTTTTATGCCAGTACTGTACTAATTTATAGTGTCACATAGTTTTTCTGTATATCGTAGTAAAAAAGAAAAATTCCCCTCACTTTCTTTCCCCTGAAGTGTTCTGGCTATTCTTGACCTTTTGTTCTTCTATACAAATTTAGAAACTGTTTATTAAATTGCTCTCCTAAATCTGTGAGATATTTTTGAAATTGCATTGCATCATTACATCAGTTTTAGGAAGATTTGATATCTTTGTGATACTGAGTTTTTAAAATCACTGAACATGGCATAACTTCCCTTTTCTCTTATACTTCTTTTCATGAAGGTTTGCATATCTTCTCTTAGCCTCTAATTTAGAACATGGTTCATTAAACTATGGCCCATTGGCCAAATCTGAATGCCACCTGTTTTTGTAGTTCATGAGCCGAGAATGCTCGCTAAGAATTTTATAAATGGGGGAGGGGAGAACCAAAGGAAGCATGACATTTAATGACATGTGAAATTATATAAAATTGAAATTTTAGTATTCATAAATAAAATTTTGTTGGTGCATAGTTATATTCATTCATTTAAGTATGTGGCTGTGTCTACACTTCAAATAGCAGAGTCTATTGTTTCAACAGAGATTGAATGACCCACAAATCTAAAATATTTTATTATTTGATCCTTTATAGAAAAAGTTTGTCCACCCCTGACTTAGAATTATTGTTTGTCATTGTTTGTTTACGTATTTCAGAGTGCCATGTGTATGTTGGGGTGGAGGTGGTGTTTTAGCCTCCTTTTCTTTACCTATATCTCCAATTCTGATAAGACCTAAACTCATAGTGAGCCACTGTTACCGAAGTGCATTGCATTCTTTAAATTTGTGTGGGCAGAGAAAAAGTTTGGAAACTTTTGATATCATGTTTTATATAATAACTAGAGGCCTGGTGCACGAAATTTATGCATGGAGGTGTGGGGGTTCCCCTCAGCCCAGCCTGCACCCTCTTGCTATCTGGGACCACTGGCTCCTAACTGCTCGCCTGCCTGCCTAATCTCCCGTAACCACTCTGCCTGCCTGCCTGGCTAATCGCCCCTAACCACTCTGCCTTCCTGCCTCATTGCCCCTAACCACTTTTCTACCTGCCTGACGGCTCCTAACTGCTCACCTGCCTGCCCGATCACCCCTAACTGCCTCTTCCTCGGCCCCTGCCACAGCGGCTTCGTCCAGAATGATGTCTGGAAGGTCTTTTGGCTGCCCGGTCTAATTAGCATATTACACTTTTATTATTATAGATCACTGTACCTGTGCTTTGGCATTTTACAATAGAGAATTTAATAAAATAACTTAATTTTCCTATTTCCTGATTTTCCCTTTTATAGGAAATTAAGAGAGAAACAGAATCCAAGGATGACAATTTGCCCATCAGACGGGAAAGGCATGGGAATGTAGCAAGTCTTGTACAACGAATAAGCACCTATGGACTTCCAGCTGGAGGAATTCAGCCACATCCACCAACTAAAAACATTAAAAAAAGTATGTAAATAGTTTCTTTACTTTTAATAAATTGAGTCAAAATAGAGGGATGTCTTCTAGCTGTTCATAAATTACGTTATGAAAAATTAGCTCAACCTTTTGCAGTTGAGTGCAGAAACTTCCCACTTACTCTCATGTTACCAGTTACTGGCCCATGTAGTCAATTCTTTATATGAGTTGCTGACAACTATGTGTGGGAATGGTTTTCTTATTAGTGTTTAAGGCTCTATTGACTTGTTAACGCTTTGCCTTAAATTTATTTTAATACCATTTATTTACTGAAAAGCTTAAGTGTCTGCTTATCCTTAAGCAGTATAGGTAGATGCAAGAATTTTGATAGTATGATTCTTTTTTTTTAAATTAAATCTTTATTGTTCAGATTATTACAGTTGTTCCTCTTTTTTCCCCCCAATAGCTCCCCTCCACCCAGTTCCCACCCCACCCTCTGCCCTTACTCCCCCCCCCCCCACTGTCCTCATCCATAGGTGTACGATTTTTGTCCAGTACCCTCCACACCCCTTCCCCCCGCCCCCGAGAATAGTCAGTCCAATCCCTGTCTATGCCCCTGATTCTATTATATTCACCAGTTTATTCTGTTCATCAGATTATTCATTCACTTGATTTTTAGATTCACTTGTTGATAGATGTGTATTTGTTGTTCATAATTTGTATCTTTACCTTTTTCTTCTTCTTCCTCTTCTTAAAGGATACCTTTCAGCATTTCATATAATACTGGTTTGGTGGTGATGAACTCCTTTAGCTTTTTCTTATCAGTGAAGCTCTTTATCTGACCCTCAATTCTGAATGATAGCTTTGCTGGGTAAAGTAATCTTGGTTATAGGTTCTTGGTATTCAACACTTTGAATATTTCTTGCCAATCCCTTCTGGCCTGCAAAGTTTCTGTTGAGAAATCAGCTGACAGTCGTATGGGTACTCCCTTGTAGATAACTGATTGTTTTTCTCTTGCTGCTTTTAAGATTCTCTCTTTGTCTTTTGCTCTTGGCATTTTAATTATGATGTGTCTTGGTGTGGTCCTCTTTGGATTCCTTTTGTTTGGGGTTCTCTGCGCTTCCTGGACTTATAAGTCTATTTCTTTCACCGTAGGGGAAGTTTTCTGTCATTATTTCTTCAAATAGGTTTTCAATATCTTGCTCTCTCTCTTCTTCTGGCACCCCCATAATTCAGATGTTGGTAAGCTTGAAGTTGTCCCAGAGGCTCCTTACACTATCTTCATATTTTCGGATTCTTTTTTCTTTTTGTTTTTCCAGTTGGGTGTTTTTAACTTCTTCGTATTTCAAATCTTTGACTTGATTCTTGCGATCCTCTGGTCTGCTGTTGGGAGTCTGTATAATATTCTTTATTTCAGTCAGTGTATGCTTAATTTCTAGTTGGTCCTTTTTCATAACCTTGAGGGTCTCACGAGATTTCTTGAGGTCTCACTAAATTTATCGGCAGTTTCTAGAAAATTCTTGGAAAATCTTAGAAGTGTGGTTTTGAACTCTATATCCAGTAGTTTACTTTCCTCCATTTCTGTCATTTGTGACCTGTTTCTTTGTCTCCGCATTTTTTATTCTTCCCTGTGTTGATAGAGTGGCTTTCTGTGCTAGGTGTCCTATAGGGCCCAGTGGCTCAGCCTCCCCAATTACCTGAGGTGGACACTCTTGGTTCACCCCTTTGTGGGCTGTGTGCACAGTCTTGTTGTAGTTAAGCCTTGATTGTTGTAGGTATCACTGGGAGGAATTGACCTCCAGGCCAGTTGGCTGTGAGAATCAGCTGTGTCTGCAGTGGGAGAACTTCTGTGCTGGAGACACCCTTCTGGGTCAAGACTTGCTTCAGTGGGGCTTTGGTGCTCACTGAGTCTGCCCCCTGAGCGTGTCCCTTATGGATCTGAGGAGTTGTAATCTGGATGGTCCCACTCTGACCTCTGGGTACACTGGCTCTTGGATCTCTAAGGAGGTGCTAATTTAGCCTCTGCCTGAGGCTACCCAGCAGGAGCTATGGAGAGATCTGCAGATTCCTCTTCTTTGGGGTTTGGAGGTGCCCAGATGAGACCCAGCTGTGAAGCAATGCAAGCTGCTGTGGGGCCTTGGGCCTTCTTTTGGAAGTTCTGGGTCTTTCTGACCCAGCTGCAGTTTGTTAGGTAATTTTCAGATTGCAAAGGGCCAGGCCTTTCATATGCAAAAGCCGACGCACAGCTTGGGCGAGGCGGGGTCCCAGGGGATCAACAGGGCACAGCAAGCAGCTATGGCTGCTCCTCAGTCCTGCCCTAAGAGGGCCCCGCTTCTCAGTGTCCTGGTAATCGCTGCAAGCACCTGTGAGAGAAAGCCGCCCTTGAGTTCCAATTGATGCCAGACAGTCCAGTTTCTCCCCGTATGAGTCTGGGTCCCCAGAGACTCTCCCGGAACTGGAGTTCAGAGCAGTTGGGAGCTTGAGATTCCCTCCCGTTCCACGTGCGTGCGCCTCCGTACCTCTGCACTTTACTTCTGCAGCTCCTCTGAGTCTCAGTGTGCTTTTCTCTTTCCTTCTAGTTGTAGAATTTCCACTCAGTCAGCCTTCCTGTGCTTCTGAATGATGTCCGTTTTGTCTTTTAGTTGTATTTTTGAAATAGTTGTGCGAGGCAGCAATTTCCGGTGTTTACCTATGCCGCGATCTTGGTTTTCTGGATATCGATAGTATGATTCTTTAGTGGTTAGACATCTGAACATAAACATTCAGTTTTCCAAGGTGATTGCCCCAAGAGAGTGCCTTTTAAATATTTGGCACTCTGCAAATATGTTAGAAGAACAGTTTAGCATAGAGGAACAGCACCACATTTGAAATCAGACATGAGTTGGGGTCTGTCTTATTATCTTAGATCATTTAAACCAGAGGTGGGGAACCTTTTTTCTGCCAAGGGCCATTTGGATATTTATAATATCATTTGCAGACCGTACAAAATTATCAACTTAAAAATTAGCCTGCTGTATTTGGTCAAACATTTAATTAACTCACCCCTAATGCCTTGGCAGGGCCAGACCAAGTGATTTCTCCGGCCTTATACAGCCCACAGGCCAGACGTTTCCCAACCTGAAACTCTTCAGTTTTATTTTGTTGCTGGTGAGAAAGTGTTAGAAAAGATGGATAATATTCCTGTTCTCAAAGAGCTTGACATCTCGAGAAAGACTGTACCAGAAAGTATTAAACATGTACAAAGAAGTGCAACATTTATGGGAGCAGATAGCATTTTAACATAGTAAATTCTGAAGCTCCTTGAGAGATTGATTACTAATTACTTTGTTCAATTTACTTTAATAAGTAGTAAGTTAGTGTTCAACCACATTTATCTTAAATTAGTGTCTTTGATATGTGGTCTTCAAATCTCTTGCAGTACCATGTACTCTACTGTAAACAAATCTTATATACATTTCACAAATGTAAGAAAAATGTATGACTTTTATAGTCTCCTTATATTTCAACCTGTTACTTTCTATGCTACTGTCTGAAGTTTGGGGGAAACCTGTACTTTCTGGGTTATATTACCCTTTGATTACTTTCATAAAATAAAATCAGATTTTCATAAAAATGCAACAAATTTTATGACACTGAGACAGATCAGTAAAATCATTCTATGTGTTCTTTGTATCCCAGTAAATGCAACGTACAAACCATATTTTGATATTACCTGTAATTTTTACATGCACTGGCTGAAGATGGACAGTTTCAGTAGTTTTAATTGTCCTGAATTTTGAAATTCTGTTTGTTTGGAGATTGGGAACAATTAACGGTGTGTCCACATCCTACAGGTGAAGCTCTATGTAGAATTTCTGTGCAAAAGGAGAATTCTTAGGCCCACAGAAGGACTATTTATGACTTCTGCCTACTCTAAAATTCACTGACCTCTTTTTTAGCTTTACTGAGCTATAAAGAGATAGGTTTCTTCTTAAGTGAAGGCTAGACAAAGGGCTTAAAGGTTATGAGTATTTTATTTTGTCTCCTAATAGATAAATTTTAAACACACTAAATTTTATCTTCCTCATATGGGATGTAATTCCTTTTTTTTTTTTTTTGTAAGAAAGAAAAAAAAATATGTCATTGGTGCCAGGAAGCTTAGGTTTTTTTCCTAAGGATCTTCTATAACTAGTTTTTAAGTTCCTGTGCCAGAAGGACTAAATTGGTCATTTGGTGCTAGCTAACATTTAAAACAGGATGCAGGTTGTTTTTGCTTTCAGATTACTTTTCCAGGAAAAGCAAGCTTATGTGGTGTTTTTTTTTAATCTGATTTTTTTGGGTTATTGTTAGTTTGCATCATATCCTGCAATCACAAAATAGACTAGTTTTAAAAAGTGGTTCATTGCAATCTATATATATATAAAAGCCTAAGCGACTGTTACAGCGGAACGACCGAAAGACCAGAATGACTGGTTGCTATGACGTGCACTTACCACCCTGGTCACCTGATTGGGGTCTGCCAGCCAACCTCCCAGTCTCTCTTTCTTCTCCCCTGGCCGGCAGATGCCAATTGCCCGGTGGGGAGTGGGGAACCAGGGGTGGGTGGCAGCAGGCGCAGGTGGCGCCAGGCCAAGGCGAGTGCAGCCAGAGGGTGAGGCCAGCAGCCTGCAGCTGTGGGGAGGAAGGCCCCGGCCAGCCAACCTCCTGGTTGGCTTTTGAAAAACCTCTTTCTGGGGAGGCTTTTCTTCCTCCTCCCCCCCCCAACCCCCCCTCCCCCCCCCAGCAGCACGCAATTCAGAGGCGCTAGCTGCGGAGCTGCCTGCTGTGGAGCTGCCCAATCTCCCTACACCCAATCGGATTGAGTCTAGCATGGCGGGGCAGAACACTCTGAGCCGCTGCCCTCAGGCAGCCACAGAGCTGGACCACCCGGCCCCCAGCGTGCTCTCTGCCTGGAAGCGTCCAGCCTCAGACCTCCGACCCCATTAACTGGATCAGTGGTGGGGTGGAAAGCAACCCGGCAGGGTGAGGAAATGATACTTGGGGTGATAACATGGGTGCAGTCCCATGACCTT